GCTGGAGTCTGAGAGAAACAAGGAGGACCTCCCCAGGTGCTGGAGAGTCAGGGATTTGGACCCGAGCTGTGGGGTTGGGATCAGGAGGGGGTGGATGTTGGGGAGGGTGGGGGTAGGAGGGTGACCGAAGGCACGGTTGAAATGGAAGAGGTGGGGGGGGGGATCTTGAGAGGGGCCTTGAAGGAGACAAGAGAGAGGGGGTTGTGTGTGGGTTCGGGGGGGGGGGGGTGTGGTGGGTCGGTGGCACCCCAGCCTGTGCTGAGCGGGCTGTACGCTGGCCCAGACACTGGCTGGATTGTGAAGCTACCGGCAGGCGGGGGGAGAGGGGAGAGAGTGGGGGGGCTATAAGGTGGTCTCGTTGCCCGGGTCTCTCAGCCCTTTCTCAGTGTCCGTCTCGTTGTAGTCTGACTCCATTTCTATCTTTAGCTGAGGGACGGCGTTGTGGGCGTAGTTGAAAGCAGGGGAGGAAGGGCAGGAGATCCTGAGCCGCAGGGTTATACTGTGGGGAGAGAATGGTGCGGGGGGGGGGGAGAGGGAACAGGTTAGAAACAGCAACGTTTACGATGTCTGTGTTTGTCACAGCGCAACGTAGCGCGTTTCCCTGCAAAGTGTAGTGACTGTGCGCATGTGTAAGGAAGTGGGGGGTGGGGGGGCGGGGATCAGTGTGTGTGGGGGGAGGGTCTGGGTGTGTGCGGAAGGAGCGGTGTGTGTGTGTGAGTGGGGGGGAGGGAGAAGTGGCTTGGGGTGGTGTGTGCGCGGAGAGGGTGTGCGTGTGTGTATGGGTGGGGGGGGGGGGGTGTAGCTGACGATGACGCACGTACCTCCTGTCTGGAGAGTCAGAGTTATTTGGGGACAGGTCAGCACGCACAGCTCCAACCAGCGGCCCTTTCTCCTGTGGTGGGGGGGGGGGGGGGGGGGGCAGAAAAGAGGGACAGAGGGTTAAACGAGAGCGCGTTAATAACGTCCCGATTCCCCGCGCCAGCGTGAGCTCTGGTTCGTGGTCAGCGAGGCTTCCTCTGCGGCACAGACCGAGTGACCACCCACTCCCGCCAGCGGTCGGATAGTTAGTTGTTGAAGATTTCAGTTTTACGGTGAAGGCTTCCCTCGTGGGAGAGGGAAGGACAGACGGAGGAGACGGAGCTCGACACGGAGAGAGGGAGAGAGAGAGAGAGACAGAGAGAAAGAGAGAGAGACACACACAACAACAACAACAACAAGATTCCATTTATAGAGCGCCTTTCACGTCGGGAGGACGTCCCGAGGCGCTGAAAGGCACACACAGAAAGACAGAGAGAGACACACACACAGACAGAGAGAGAGAGAGAGAGAGACAGTGAGCGGGAGAAACACACACACGCACACACACAGACAGAGAGATGGTTAGATTACTGGTTAGAGAGCTGATTGAGGTTACCGCAGACTGAGCGGAGAGTGAGCGACAGAGCACCGAGGGCGAGCTTTCCCCCCCTTGGCGGGAGCTGTTACTCACTGCTCGGGCTCTGGGAACTGTTTTTCTCGGACTCGATCTGTTCCATGGGGATCTTTACTGGAACCGGGAGCATCTGAGGCTTATTCTGCACGGAAACCTGGAATTCAGGTGTACATGTTTAAGGGTTCTCAGTGTGTGTGTGTGTGCGCGTGTATATGCGTGTGTGTGTGTGCGTATGTGTGTGTGTGTGTGTGTGTATGTACGCGACTCTGATCTTTCTCTGAGTGCGCTGGAAGATCGCCAGACCGCAATATCCATGGTTTGACTCCGGTGGTTACCCCCAACTCACACTCTGGGCTCCCCAAAGCCTTGGCTTTCTTTTGCCAACCTGCGAGACTCATACTCTCTGGAATTAGGTAAGCGGAATTCCTCCCTCCAGGGAGAGAGCGGGAGCGAGAGCGAGAGAGAGAGAGAGCACATGTGCCATTCCAATCTATCCACGTGGGGAATTCTCAGTTGGGTTTGGAGACTCTTAAGCAACGGCGATGGGTTTCCGTGTGTGTCGGACACCCGATTGACCCCCCAAAAAGCACCAGACCACCCAACCTGCACTGTGAACCAGTGCGTTATTTTACCACTGAAGGTTATCTGCTTAAACACGCGGCGCAGGGGTTGCCCCCGTTTTCCAGCAGAAAAGTGCGAGTAAAGATACCGCCTCCAACAAAGGGAAGGAAGCGGCCGAGCGGAGGCGTCACCATTTAACAGTAATAATAAAAATATTTCTATTGGTCGTTGCTCCCATGCAAGTAGAAACAATACACTTCCCGGGTCACGGCTGTAAAATGAATTAGGATCCATTTTACGCGCGGAAGGTCCCTCACGGGCAACGTGGGGGTTGGTCCGAGGGGAATGGCTACCACCACACTGCCCGGTGTGTAGCAGACTCCAGCCCCGCACACGTCCACCGAGCACGGACACCAGTCATGAAGGCAGTACCAGACTCGGTGACAATCCCATCTGCTTCTCCCTGCGTCCGGGTCATCACTGATCCCCTAAAGAGCAGAGACACCAATGGACAAGCGTGGAGTCGCGCTGAGTCAGTCACTCCAGACAACTCGACCCGTTTCCACACGGGGTCAGGAGAGGAAGCCATTTTCGTGGCTGTCAAGGCCAGAGAAATGGAATTATTTCAGAAGTGACCTGAGCAGTAGATAGACGGAGATACACATACAGTGGCCTCCTGGGTTTCTCCTTGTGCGTTTCCTGCCTGGAGGCGATATTGACCACCGACAACTTGTATTCACACAGCGCCCTTCACGCCGGATCTAGTCCCGGGGCCCTGAAGATCAATATAATAATAAAGCTCACATCTGACCCTGCGCTCATCACATCACCAAGACGTCTCAAAGCTCCAACAACAACACCTTGTATTTATATAGCCTCCTTCACGACGGACGGCATTTTCACAGGGTTTTTACAATAAAGTGTCATCCCTGTGTGTTTGGAGGCAAACGCTACCCTCTCGGGTGGGGGTAAGGGGCGAGGTCCTGAAATTCCTCCTCGTCTCAGCCTGACAGACCGTTCTGTCTTGAAACGTTCCCAAACTGTGGAATATCTCTCAACCTTTGGCTGTGACGTGGAGGATTTATCAGCCGGGACGTCGACTGGGAGAAAAGAAAATCCGGGATGAAAACTTGGCACGAAATCTGTAAACCTTTTTCTGGGGCAGAGGTTCTGGCAAAGACTAGGGGGTGGGGGGTGGGGGGGGTAATTGGAGGGTGGGGGCAGGTTTGGGTGGTAGTGTGGGTGGGTGGGTGACGGGCAATGCTCACCAGCAATCCCGGAGGCCTTGTTGTACACCAGTTCCAGCACAATTGGTCCCTGGGATCCGGGCTGAGGGTCTCCTCGTTGTGACCAACGCTGGAACAGACAACACAAAGGCCGAGAGGTTGGGAGAATTCAGTGTGATTGAGCGTTGCCCAGTGATGCTCAGACCCAAAGGGTTTGGAGGCTGGAGAGAGAGAGAGAGAGAGGGGAGCAGAGTGGAGGGGGAGAGTACGGCTTGGGTGAAGTGGGGGGGGGGCATGGGGGGGGGGTGTTGTATTACTGCGTTCACACTGCAGAGTTCAACTTCTTTCCTCTCTCCGTCTGAACTCAGTGGACATCCAGCAGGTGATCTCCAATGACTTAATGCTACTAAGTCTTCCTAATTTTCCTTCGTACCCTCTGTTCCACTATCGGTGGCCACTGTGCCACTGTGCCCCCCCCCCCCCCAAACTCTGGAACTCTCTCCCTCAATCCCTCCGCCTTGCCCCCTCCTTTCCCACTTTCAAATCCCGCCTAAAGACCTTCCCTTTCGGGGAGGGGTGAAAAAAAAACATAAAATTTTCAGCATTTACTATTTATTGTGAACGTGATTCCTCGGTGCCTCAATAATAATAATATTCCTCGCATTTGACAGAGCGCTTCTCACGTCCTCAATGCGTCTCAAAGCGCTTCACGGAACGTATCGTAAAGTGAATCGACTGTGTATTTGTGGGCGAAACGCGGCGGCCGATTGCGCACCGCAGCGTCCCGCAAGCAGTCGTGACCAAACTGAGTGACCACATCACTGACCAACTGCAGGAAGTCCACAACAGAATCGCTTACAGGTAACCAGAGACCCTCCGTTCGCACTCTTACTCTCCAAAGTCTCACCGTCGAGTTCTGTTCTGTCATCGCATCAACTAATGACTTGATAAAGATCAAGGAAGAAGGAACTCAGACCAGGCGCTCCTGTCCCCGTCTCCTTTTTTTTTTAACCCCCATCTCTCATTTACAAAGCCGAAGCCTTGATCTGTAAACAGTAAATATAGGACCAGAAATTTCAGACGGACAACTCGATCGGCTCAGTTGGTAACTCGCTCTCCTCCGAGAGGGAGGGGTCGTGAGTTTAAATCCCCGCAGGTCATTGACGCTCCAGTACGCAGATGAAATTCCACAGCAAAGGGCAGATCCACCCGGTTGAGTGGACGGGAAAGGTACCATGACACTGACTGACCCACAGGAGAGCGGACACGGGCTCAGTGTCATGGTAGCCATTCCCCCCCACCCCCACCCCCCGCCCCCCCCACCCACTCCGGCCAAACCACAGGTTGCCTGTGTGTAAAATGGATCCTAATTCATTTCACAGCCATTACCTGGGAAATACTTCTTTTGATATCAATAGGGAGCAAAAGCAAACAGAAGTATCGTTAGTATTAAAAATGATGCCTTCGTTACCCTCCGCGAAGCCACCTCCAACAGTGTGGGTTGTTGAAATAACTCCCCACCCCCCCGACCCAACCCCACCCTCACACCTTTCAGAGCCTCACCTCATCCTCGCTGTCCTCGTCCCGGTCTTTCCCTTTCAGTTTTTTCTTCTTCTTTCTGTCCTCCTCCTTTTTCTTGTCTTTCTCGGGCAGGATGTCGTCCAGCCACGCCAGGTCGTGCTGAGAGAACATCAGGTCCAGAAGCTTCCTCACTATGATCAGCCCCAGGATCTGTCAGCGCAGGAACCCAGAGGGCGTCAGTCATTCCGGTGTCAGGCGCCAGGGGGGCGGCAGTGACCGGGGGGGTGGGGGGTTAGCCCACCAGGGGGGCATCGGTCACCAGAGAGAGCCAGTCAGCCACCACCACCACCGCCGCCAACATGGCTCCTCACCCAAGTTAGTGCATCAGTCACACCAGTGTCAGTCACCAGAGCGGGTGCTCTGACAGAGGTGATCTCTCTCCCGTACCCACCCCCCCCCACACCCCCCACACATACTCCCCCACCCCGCCCCATCTCACCATCACTGGAAAGATAATGGCGCGACTGTGGACTTCAGGACCCAGAGGACGGCCAGGCAGAGGACCTGGACCACGGTGAACAGGTGGATGCGGCGGAGGGGGACGTGCCTCAGGTAGGCGTGATCCGGCTGGTGTTTGCTCGGCATCAGGAACAGTTTGCAGCGATCCCAAAACTGCGGGAGGTAACCGTTAGTAATTAATACCGGGCCCTCGTGCCTGCTTGTTGGCCTCCCCAACTCCTCCCTCCAGAGGCTGCAGATCATCCAGAACTTTGCAGCCCGTGTCCTCACCCCCATCCTCGCCCAACTCCGCCGGCTTCCCATCACACAGAGGATACAGTTCAAGATCTTGGTCCTCACCAACAAACCCTTCCATGGTCTCGCTCCCCTTGACCTCCGCCACCTCCTAACCCCCTACCGACCTGCCCGCTCCTTCCGCCCAGCGGGCTCCAACCGGCTTCACGTCCCCCACCTCGCTCGCCCCCACTGTTGGCGGGCGGGCCTTCCGCCACTCTGGAACTTCCGTCCCGCAGTCCCTCCGTCTCGCCCCCTCCCTCGCCTCCTGCAAGACCCATCTCAAGACCCTCCTCCTGCTTTCGATCACCCTCCTTCCCCCAACTGTCCTCCACCCACCCACCCCGATCCCGACCCCCCAGCTCAGGTCCGAAACACTGACTGTCCAGCGCCTTGGGACGCCCTCCCGACGTGAAAGGCGCTTTACGCGTGTAACTTTGTTGTTGTTGTTGTTGTTGCGTGTGAGTTGGCCAGAGAGAATGTGGGGACACAGCGCCCTCCCGTGGCCACCCCGGGTTACACACAAGTGCCCCCACGGAGGGCGCCGTCCCCGTCGTATTTGGCTGAGGATCTCTCTGACCAAGTGATCTGCTCTCAGTCACACAGCAGTCACACAGGGCAGAGGGGGACAGAAGCCTCCTCACCCCCACCCCGCGCACCCCCCCCCCCACCGCCCCCGGACCCGGAGCACAGATTGAGAGGGGACGCGATCGAGGTGTTTAGAAAATGCCGAGAGGGGGCGCGACAATAATACTAATAATAATATTCCGTGCATTTGACACAGAGGTGTATCGCCGTGAGGTGCTGAGCCCTCTGTGTGTTGGTCACCAGAGCTTCGTGTCTCTCCACAGTGTCTGTAACAGCGCAACAGTGAGACGCTAAGATGTTCACTTGGGAACTAGTGCCTCGTAACCCCAACTCACACCCCCTCATCCCCTCCTGTCCCCCCCCCCCCCCCCCGCCGCCCCCAACCACCCACACACTGTTATAAAATGGACGGCTGGAACTACGGGCAGCATTGGATCAATTGCTCGCGATATTGATCAACTCAGAATCATTGCACCACCACCATAGGCTCATCCCCACCCCCCCCCCCCCCCCCACCCTCTCACACCGTCATGCTGGGAGTGGGGGTGGGGGGGGGTTGGGGGTGGTTGGAGCCACAATGTCGGAGGCACTTTCAGATGACACATTAAACCAAACCCCGTCTGCTGTGTAACCCGGTGAGTGAGCGAGCGTGAGCAGCGCTGGATATAAATAGTTGTTGTTGTTGTTGGCACGAGGGCCCGGTATTAATTACTAACGGTTACCTCCCGCAGTTTTGGGATCGCTGCAAACTGTTCCTGATGCCGAGCAAACACCAGCCGGATCACGCCTACCTGAGGCACGTCCCCCTCCGCCGCATCCACCTGTTCACCGTGGTCCAGGTCCTCTGCCTGGCCGTCCTCTGGGTCCTGAAGTCCACAGTCGCGGCCATTATCTTTCCAGTGATGGTGAGATGGGGCTGGGGGGAGTATGTGTGGGGGGTGTGTGGGGGGGGTGGGGTATGGGAGAGAGATCACCTCTGTCAGAGCACCCGCTCTGGTGACTGACACTGGTGTGACTGATGCACTAACTTGGGTGAGGAGCCATGTTGGCGGCGGTGGTGGTGGTGGCTGACTGGCTCTCTCTGGTGACCGATGCCCCCCTGGTGGGCTAACCCCCCACCCCCCCGGTCACTGCCGCCCCCCTGGCGCCTGACACCGGAATGACTGACGCCCTCTGGGTTCCTGCGCTGACAGATCCTGGGGCTGATCATAGTGAGGAAGCTTCTGGACCTGATGTTCTCTCAGCACGACCTGGCGTGGCTGGACGACATCCTGCCCGAGAAAGACAAGAAAAAGGAGGAGGACAGAAAGAAGAAGAAAAAACTGAAAGGGAAAGACCGGGACGAGGACAGCGAGGATGAGGTGAGGCTCTGAAAGGTGTGAGGGTGGGGGTTGGGTCGGGGGGGTGGGGAGTTATTTCAACAACCCACACTGTTGGAGGTGGCTTCGCGGAGGGTAACGAAGGCATCATTTTTAATACTAACGATACTTCTGTTTGCTTTTGCTCCCTATTGATATCAAAAGAAGTATTTCCCAGGTAATGGCTGTGAAATGAATTAGGATCCATTTTACACACAGCAACCTGTGGTTTGGCCGGAGTGGGTGGGGGGGGGCGGGGGGTGGGGGTGGGGGGGGAATGGCTACCATGACACTGAGCCCGTGTCCGCTCTCCTGTGGGTCAGTCAGTGTCATGGTACCTTTCCCGTCCACTCAACCGGGTGGATCTGCCCTTTGCTGTGGAATTTCATCTGCGTACTGGAGCGTCAATGACCTGCGGGGATTTAAACTCACGACCCCTCCCTCTCGGAGGAGAGCGAGTTACCAACTGAGCCGATCGAGTTGTCCGTCTGAAATTTCTGGTCCTATATTTACTGTTTACAGATCAAGGCTTCGGCTTTGTAAATGAGAGATGGGGGTTAAAAAAAAAAGGAGACGGGGACAGGAGCGCCTGGTCTGAGTTCCTTCTTCCTTGATCTTTATCAAGTCATTAGTTGATGCGATGACAGAACAGAACTCGACGGTGAGACTTTGGAGAGTAAGAGTGCGAACGGAGGGTCACTGGTTACCTGTAAGCGATTCTGTTGTGGACTTCCTGCAGTTGGTCAGTGATGTGGTCACTCAGTTTGGTCACGACTGCTTGCGGGACGCTGCGGTGCGCAATCGGCCGCCGCGTTTCGCCCACAAATACACAGTCGATTCACTTTACGATACGTTCCGTGAAGCGCTTTGAGACGCATTGAGGACGTGAGAAGCGCTCTGTCAAATGCGAGGAATATTATTATTATTGAGGCACCGAGGAATCACGTTCACAATAAATAGTAAATGCTGAAAATTTTATGTTTTTTTTTCACCCCTCCCCGAAAGGGAAGGTCTTTAGGCGGGATTTGAAAGTGGGAAAGGAGGGGGCAAGGCGGAGGGATTGAGGGAGAGAGTTCCAGAGTTTGGGGGGGGGGGGGGCACAGTGGCACAGTGGCCACCGATAGTGGAACAGAGGGTACGAAGGAAAATTAGGAAGACTTAGTAGCATTAAGTCATTGGAGATCACCTGCTGGATGTCCACTGAGTTCAGACGGAGAGAGGAAAGAAGTTGAACTCTGCAGTGTGAACGCAGTAATACAACACCCCCCCCCCATGCCCCCCCCCCACTTCACCCAAGCCGTACTCTCCCCCTCCACTCTGCTCCCCTCTCTCTCTCTCTCTCTCCAGCCTCCAAACCCTTTGGGTCTGAGCATCACTGGGCAACGCTCAATCACACTGAATTCTCCCAACCTCTCGGCCTTTGTGTTGTCTGTTCCAGCGTTGGTCACAACGAGGAGACCCTCAGCCCGGATCCCAGGGACCAATTGTGCTGGAACTGGTGTACAACAAGGCCTCCGGGATTGCTGGTGAGCATTGCCCGTCACCCACCCACCCACACTACCACCCAAACCTGCCCCCACCCTCCAATTACCCCCCCCCACCCCCCCACCCCCTAGTCTTTGCCAGAACCTCTGCCCCAGAAAAAGGTTTACAGATTTCGTGCCAAGTTTTCATCCCGGATTTTCTTTTCTCCCAGTCGACGTCCCGGCTGATAAATCCTCCACGTCACAGCCAAAGGTTGAGAGATATTCCACAGTTTGGGAACGTTTCAAGACAGAACGGTCTGTCAGGCTGAGACGAGGAGGAATTTCAGGACCTCGCCCCTTACCCCCACCCGAGAGGGTAGCGTTTGCCTCCAAACACACAGGGATGACACTTTATTGTAAAAACCCTGTGAAAATGCCGTCCGTCGTGAAGGAGGCTATATAAATACAAGGTGTTGTTGTTGGAGCTTTGAGACGTCTTGGTGATGTGATGAGCGCAGGGTCAGATGTGAGCTTTATTATTATATTGATCTTCAGGGCCCCGGGACTAGATCCGGCGTGAAGGGCGCTGTGTGAATACAAGTTGTCGGTGGTCAATATCGCCTCCAGGCAGGAAACGCACAAGGAGAAACCCAGGAGGCCACTGTATGTGTATCTCCGTCTATCTACTGCTCAGGTCACTTCTGAAATAATTCCATTTCTCTGGCCTTGACAGCCACGAAAATGGCTTCCTCTCCTGACCCCGTGTGGAAACGGGTCGAGTTGTCTGGAGTGACTGACTCAGCGCGACTCCACGCTTGTCCATTGGTGTCTCTGCTCTTTAGGGGATCAGTGATGACCCGGACGCAGGGAGAAGCAGATGGGATTGTCACCGAGTCTGGTACTGCCTTCATGACTGGTGTCCGTGCTCGGTGGACGTGTGCGGGGCTGGAGTCTGCTACACACCGGGCAGTGTGGTGGTAGCCATTCCCCTCGGACCAACCCCCACGTTGCCCGTGAGGGACCTTCTGCGCGTAAAATGGATCCTAATTCATTTTACAGCCGTGACCCGGGAAATGTATTGTTTCTACTTGCATGGGAGCAACGACCAATAGAAATATTTTTATTATTACTGTTAAATAGTGACGCCTCCGCTCGGCCGCTTCCTTCCCTTTGTTGGAGGCGGTATCTTTACTCGCACTTTTCTGCTGGAAAACGGGGGCAACCCCTGCGCCGCGTGTTTAAGCAGATAACCTTCAGTGGTAAAATAACGCACTGGTTCACAGTGCAGGTTGGGTGGTCTGGTGCTTTTTGGGGGGTCAATCGGGTGTCCGACACACACGGAAACCCATCGCCGTTGCTTAAGAGTCTCCAAACCCAACTGAGAATTCCCCACGTGGATAGATTGGAATGGCACATGTGCTCTCTCTCTCTCTCGCTCTCGCTCCCGCTCTCTCCCTGGAGGGAGGAATTCCGCTTACCTAATTCCAGAGAGTATGAGTCTCGCAGGTTGGCAAAAGAAAGCCAAGGCTTTGGGGAGCCCAGAGTGTGAGTTGGGGGTAACCACCGGAGTCAAACCATGGATATTGCGGTCTGGCGATCTTCCAGCGCACTCAGAGAAAGATCAGAGTCGCGTACATACACACACACATACGCACACACACATATACACGCGCACACACACACACACTGAGAACCCTTAAACATGTACACCTAAATTCCAGGTTTCCGTGCAGAATAAGCCTCAGATGCTCCCGGTTCCAGTAAAGATCCCCATGGAACAGATCGAGTCCGAGAAAAACAGTTCCCAGAGCCCGAGCAGTGAGTAACAGCTCCCGCCAAGGGGGGGAAAGCTCGCCCTCGGTGCTCTGTCGCTCACTCTCCGCTCAGTCTGCGGTAACCTCAATCAGCTCTCTAACCAGTAATCTAACCATCTCTCTGTCTGTGTGTGTGTGTGTGTGTGTGTGTTTCTCCCTCTCACTGTCTCTCTCTCTCTCTCTCTGTCTGTGTGTGTGTCTCTCTCTGTCTTTCTGTGTGTGCCTTTCAGCGCCTCGGGACGTCCTCCCGACGTGAAAGGCGCTCTATAAATGGAATCTTGTTGTTGTTGTTGTGTGTGTGTGTCTCTCTCTCTCTTTCTCTCTGTCTCTCTCTCTCTCTCCCTCTCTCCGTGTCGAGCTCCGTCTCCTCCGTCTGTCCTTCCCTCTCCCACGAGGGAAGCCTTCACCGTAAAACTGAAATCTTCAACAACTAACTATCCGACCGCTGGCGGGAGTGGGTGGTCACTCGGTCTGTGCCGCAGAGGAAGCCTCGCTGACCACGAACCAGAGCTCACGCTGGCGCGGGGGAATCGGGACGTTATGTAACGCGCTCTCGTTTAACCCTCTGTCCCTCTTTTCTGCCCCCCCCCCCCCCCCCCCCCCACCACAGGAGAAAGGGCCGCTGGTTGGAGCTGTGCGTGCTGACCTGTCCCCAAATAACTCTGACTCTCCAGACAGGAGGTACGTGCGTCATCGTCAGCTACACCCCCCCGCCCCCCCCCACCCATACACACACGCACACCCTCTCCGCGCACACACCACCCCAAGCCACTTCTCCCTCCCCCCCACTCACACACACACACACCGCTCCTTCCGCACACACCCAGACCCTCCCCCCACACACACTGATCCCCGCCCCCCCACCCCCCACTTCCTTACACATGCCGCACAGTCACTACACTTTGCAGGGAAACGCGCTACGTTGCGCTGTGACAAACACAGACATCGTAAACGTTGCTGTTTCTAACCTGTTCCCTCTCCCCCCCCCCCCGCACCATTCTCTCCCCACAGTATAACCCTGCGGCTCAGGATCTCCTGCCCTTCCTCCCCTGCTTTCAACTACGCCCACAACGCCGTCCCTCAGCTAAAGATAGAAATGGAGTCAGACTACAACGAGACGGACACTGAGAAAGGGCTGAGAGACCCGGGCAACGAGACCACCTTATAGCCCCCCCACTCTCTCCCCTCTCCCCCCGCCTGCCGGTAGCTTCACAATCCAGCCAGTGTCTGGGCCAGCGTACAGCCCGCTCAGCACAGGCTGGGGTGCCACCGACCCACCACACCCCCCCCACCCCCCGAACCCACACACAACCCCCTCTCTCTTGTCTCCTTCAAGGCCCCTCTCAAGATCCCCCCCCACCACCTCTTCCATTTCAACCGTGCCTTCGGTCACCCTCCTACCCCCACCCTCCCCAACATCCACCCCCTCCTGATCCCAACCCCACAGCTCGGGTCCAAATCCCTGACTCTCCAGCACCTGGGGAGGTCCTCCTTGTTTCTCTCAGACTCCAGCGTGTGTGTGTGTGTGTGTGTGTGCGTGTGTGCGCGCGTGTGCGTGTATATGTGAGTACATGTGCGTGTATGAATAAGTGAGCATGACCGTATGCATGTGCGTACGTACGTGAGTAAGAATCTGTGAGCGTGAGGGAGACTAAGTGACAGTTTGTGAGTGAGAGTTGGTGAGTGTGAGATTGAGTGTGTGTTGAATGTGTGTTGTGTGAGTGAATGCGAAGGAGTGAGTGGGACGGTTGTGTGTGGGGGGGGGGGGGAGGGGGAAACGGGGTGGGGGGGGGGGGTGGGAAACGAGACCGACTGAACAATATTCTAGAACCACCGAATCTCCAACAAAAAAGAATAACTCATTACAATAATCGGGATAAATTGCCGTGACTCGGATGCTGGCTTATGGTTCCTGTCCCCCTCCCAACCCAACCCCACCCCACTCCCCGCCCGAAGCCCTCCCCTCCACCCCCAACCCTCTCCCCACCAAGTGGAGAGGAGAGAAGAGAAGAGTGGGAAAAGGACGGAAGCAGAGACCCACCTACTGGAGAAGGAGAGCCCTCGATGTTAGCACAGTGTCTGCCCGGCCCCGCACCTCACGCTCAGCGTTATTAGGTAATGCTATTTTGTAAAGCGACTGTAAAATTTATACATATATCACTAGCAACGAAGATAGACGGGGAGCCACACCCCCGCCGCCCCCTCCGTAAAGTAGCTCAGGGGGTTAGAGCCCCCGCCTCGCAAGCGAGAGGACCCGGGTTCGATTCCCAGGGGGGTCAGGTCAGGGCGAAACATTTCCTAACTCCACACACACACGCGCTCACGCACACACACACGCACACGCGCACACACACGCCTCTGTTTACCAGCAGTGAGTAGGAACCCGGTCGTTAGTCGATTGGGAGAACCGCTTTTCCGGGGTTAATAAACCCTCCAGAAAAAAAAGATTAAATTTTTCACTCAATAATAATAATAATAATGATAACCATCCCTGCATTTGGTTTAGCTCCTTATCGCGTCGTTGACCCCACAGGGTACACCGCAAAGGGAATTTGTCCCACGTACAGTCGTAGATTGAGGAACCAATTCGCCGCCGGGCGCCAGTGTCTGCCGAGTTTGGCCCACGGGAATACACAGTCACTGCACTTCGCAGTGTATCCTGTGAAGCGCTTTGAGACGTCTCGAAGACGCGAGGGGAAGGCGCCGGATCAAGTGCCGGGGTTAATACTAGAATTATTATGAGAAAAGGATAGCGTAGAGAAGGCTTTACCCTGCTGACGGCTGGCATTATAATAGGAGGTGAGTTGCTCTCTCGAAACCGCCTCTAGACTAGGAAGCGCGCGCTGTTGCTGACGGCACTTGCGCGTTAGTCGGGTGTAATATTTTTTTTTTTTTAAATCTCTCTCGTCTTTCTCGGGGGTGTTTGTACATTCGTGTGAGATCGCCGTGTTTCACAGTGAGAGGCCCAGTCACCGCGTCCTGTTCTGGCGATTGTTGTGTGAAGCGACTAATTAAAGGAAACGAGCAAAAACAAAACCCCAAAGGTGTCGAGAGGCTGTTTGCCAGCGGTTTCCCCCCCCCCCCCCCCCCCACACCCACCCCCGTACCCCCAGCCGCACGCCGGCTCACCGGGCTGGATCACACCAGATCACACCATTTGGTTTATTTCTGATGTCTCGTAACAAGCTGAGCGCACGCACACCCCACACGCTCGCACACAACAGACACGCCTCGGGGGTCAGACGATGTGTGATTGCTCTCTCACCGTCCCCCAGTTGGGGGGGGGGGGGGCGATTGCTGCTGTACATCAGCTGCTTACCCCTCTTTAAAGGGAACACGATACGTGAAGAAGCACTCAAAACAGCGCAATGGGGACTGGGCAATGGGGAGACTGCGCTCACCGACAGCTCCCGATTCACGGACAGACGCAGTCACAAGCGAAAACAAATGCCCATCGTTTATCAAGTCACGAGGAAAGCCGTCTCTTAACCTAATGTCCACACCACACGCCAGGCACGGGGACACAGCACACGTTAAGCCTTCCTCCCCGACCTCGGAAAGGGAGAGAGAGCGAGAAAGAGAGAGCTGGTTGAAAGCCAGCCATCACATCATCGATTGCTCCAGGGTCTGCACCCCCCCCCGCGACCCCCCAACCCTCTGCGAGGGGAGAGGAGAGTGAGGTCTACATTCCAGGGGCATTTTGAACCCGGGAGAATTGGCCACATCTTCGGAAACGTTGGCTGATCTGGAAACTCTGAAGCGCGGTGATGGGTTTCCGTGCGTGTCAGACACCCGGGTGGTCGTGGGTGTAGAGTCGAGCCCCCCCGATAACCTCCGTGTGTCCTCACGATAATCAGGTATCGCAGCCCGAGCATCGGGGAGGGGTGGGGTAGGGGTGAGGAAGGCAGAGAGTTGGGAGGGCGACCAAAGGCACGGTGCTTCGAAGAGAAGGGGCTTGAGACCGACCTTGAAGGAGGCAAAGGGAGGAAGCGAGGCGAAGGGACCGTGGGATGGAGTTCCAGAGTGCGAGGGCAGAGAGGCTGAGGGGACCGAGGACAGAGCCCTGAGGGACACGGCACGAGACGGCGCGGGGGCCGGAGGAGAAGCCGTTTGCTGCGACGAAGTGGAAGGGGGTGTGACAGGTAGGACCTGAACCAGTCAAGGGCTGAACCTTGGAGGTTGTGGTGGGAGGAGAGGCGGCGGAGGAGGATTGATTGAATGGTCGAATGGTCTCCCTCCCCACTGCAGGGCGAGCAGAGCTGCTCGAAGGGGGAAACCCCCAAACTTCACTCAACCGGAGCACTTGAACCCCTTCCTGACCGGAGAAAACCCCCTCGTCAGGAACTGCGCCCCGAAACTCTAGAGCTCTCTCCCTCAATCCCTCCGCCTGGTCCCCTCCCTACCCCCCCCCCACACCTCCCTCAAAATACACAGTCACTACACTTTACAAACAGAATGGGTGGGTGGTGGGGGCCCTCTTGTGGCCACAGAGGGTTTCACACCGTGTCTGGTCAAGTGACTGCATTGTGTGTGTGTGCAGCTGCGTTGCGCAGTGGTGGCCGCAGGAGGGCTATTTGGCTGAGCTGTGGCCAAAATGCAACACAATAATCCTTACACTTGATTTAATAATAATAATCCTTGCATTTGATATAATAATGAGCCTTGCATTTGACATAGCGCCTTATCCACATCTCTTACGATTGCTTTTTAGCCGAGGAGCAACTTTCTCAGCTGCAAATGAATCATTTATTTCGGGTTATTAAATCGCAAAGCCGCGTGCGTGAGAGCGGAAAGGGTTTATTTCCTGCATTCAAATCTGATGGTAAAGATTTAACACGTCACAGAGAGTGCGCTCGCGCGCTCGTGAGTGAGTGAGTGATTGCAGCAGGTCAGCGATCCATTCCATTCAGCGGCTCAACTGTTTTTTTCACTGCTATATGTTTTTTCTCAACACCATTTTTCCCTGGAACACAAAAGGTGATCAAGCGCTGTATATCGACCGCCTCAACAACGACTTGGTGACCGTAGGAGCTGTCGAAGAGGACCCTGAAGATGGGGAAGGAAAGGGGCGAGATGGAGGGATAGGGGATGAGTGTTCCCAGAGCTTCGGGGGCGTAGTGGCTGAAAGCGCGGCCACCGATGGTGGAACGGAGGGCACGAGGGACATGCAGGAGGAGGGAGCCAGTTGGGGGGGGGGGGGTCAGCAGGTTGGTGATTTAGGGGGTAAGCAGGTGGGAGTGGTAGGGAGGGTGTGAAGGGATTTCAAATAAAGAGTGTGACGGCCTCGAAATCGATCCATTCGGCGATAGGGAAACAGTGGGAACCGGCGCGATGGGGGCGGTGATGGAATTTAGTCTCGACACGCTCCGCTGGGATTTGCTGCCACGTGCAGCTTACGTCTCAGCCGCTCGCCCACTGCGCTTATCGCACTTACCGGGTTGTCTCCCGAACACTCTGGGAGCTCAACGGTAGCTCTTCCTCTGCTCTGAATCAGCTCCTCGACTTCGCCTGCGACCTGCGGTGAACAGGGTTTTTGATTGCAACTGGGGGGAAAAAAAATTCTCGCCAACCTCAACCTCACCTGCGGCTTAAAACTTGCACGAATGCGTTTCCTCCCTCTCTGGGTTTGAGCGAGAGCGAGCTCCGCTTCACTGACAGTCAATCCGCCTTACGGTGCCTCCTGTGAAGCGCTTTGAGACGTGTCGAAGGCGCTGTAAGGCGCTAACATCAAATGCCAGGATTATTATGTTTTGTCTCTGCTGCTGGAGAGACCCACAGTGCGATAGAACGGGTGTAGTGGCGCTCTCCCCATTCAATTTCGCTGAGTACCTCTCTGGCCAACTCACTTTTATTATAATACTAATTATTTCTATATCAAATGCAGAGGTTATTATTATTATTATCATCATCATATTATCATTCGAGACGTCTCAAAGCGCTTCGCAGGGCGTGCTGCAAAGCGAAGTGACTGTGTGGTTTGTGGGTCCCGTTAAAAGAAATGGTGACAACAATGCGAATGGCATCGAGAGGATTGGAGAGAGATGGAAAGGGATTGGGATCAGTTTCAAGAGGAGGGAGTGGGGCGGAGGGGTGGGATGGGAGGATTGGGGGGGGTGCGAGGGGGTGAAAATGCTGAGGATACAAACCCCCTGTAGGAATTCAATCATGTGCTCTGTGCCACGCTTCTTTCCAGGACGGTTATCGATGGACCAATGCTGTGCCGAGGTCAGGGCGGTGAGGACGGCCAGGGTCAGAGACAGCCACAACAGCCTTTTGCCGAGGGCGGACATTCTGTAAGAAGACGCGGCTGTTACTCTCCGTGCGCTTCAATTTAAACCGGGTATGTGCGACACAAGGCGCAAAGCCCCGAGCGAGCGCCGGCCGGCCCTTAATAAAAATAATAATAATCCTCGCATTTGACCCGGCGCCTCATCACGTCTTCGAGACGTCTCAAAGCGCTTCACAGGACACACTGTAAAGTGTAATGACTGTGTGTTTTGCGGGTGAAACGCGGCGGCCGATTGCGCACAGCCCACAAACAGCCGCGGGTTGAGTGACCACGTCGTTCGGGAATTANTTTTTTTCCCCGAAGGGATTCTTACCCTCGGAAAAGTGATCCGCCGATCAACTAACAACCGGCTGAGTTTCCTGCTTATTGCTAGGTACACGGAGGGCGTGCGTGTGGAGTAAGGAAACTTGCCCAGTGTTTCGCCCTGACCCGCCCGGGAATCGAACCCCGAGGCGAGCGCTCTAAACACTGCGCTACAAGACTCCAGTTAAAGCGCCCGAGCGATTTACAACACGGGCGCAAAGCTCCGAGTAACTGTCCTTACCTCGCAGACGCTTGCGGCTCACGGGGCTTCGAGGCAGGTTCAGCTCTCGTCTCTGCTGTGGCTCCTGGGTTTGCGATTGACGGCTTATTCTGGTGGGGTTTTATACGGCGCGATAATGGCTGCATTAGGCTCGCAGCAGGGTATCAGCGAGAACCCCACGGGGCAGGGAACGCACCGCAGGCACACACTCAACAAACCGTCGTCGCCTCAGAATAGAGTCCAATCCAGTTAATTGCCGGATAGATTAAGTCCCGTCCGCGGCTAAAAGGTACCACTGTAAGTTGCGTTATAATAATCTCTGCACTTAACGCAGGGATCTCACGTCGAAAAGCACTTCACAGCGAATTGTTGGCGCACACGGTGATTGCGTCTCTTGGGTCGGTTTGTGTCCGGCTACGTCCCCACGAACAGTGGAAGAAGAGAATGATCAAATCAATTTAGCTGGGAAAAATATTAGTGTGAGGACCACCCTATTCTGGGGCTGTGGTTCAGGAAGATCCTGATTAGCTTCGAAGGGGAACTTGGGATAGATATTTGGAAAGGGTAAACGCAGGAGAATAATAATGATAATCATCCTTGCGTTTGATATAGAGCCTCATCACGTATGCGAGTAGATTTGGTGGGTGAAATGTCCCACAAACAGTCGTGGATTGAGTGACCAAAGTATTATTTATTTATTTGAAGGCACTATTTACCCCCGGAAAAGCAATCCAACAGGTTCCTGCTTAATATCAGGTAAATAGGGGGGGGTGTGGAGTAAGGAAACTTGCCCAGCGTTTCGCACTGCCGGGGAATCGAACCCAGGCTCTCTCGTTTGTAAGTGCTCCAACCAGAGCTACAGCAATAATAATAACACTAATGCAATAATTGCTTCCCCCGTTCAAACGGCCGACTAATTAATCCCCTTTCTACGCGAATCCTGACCAGCTTTGGGTTTCACGGCCTGACTGAGGCAGGTTTAATGATGTGGCGCTGGGCTACGGATGTACGTTAAAAGGCTGTGACGTGGGTGAGGCAGCGCTCTCGCCTGAGCGCAACTCCTGGAAGGAACCGATGGCGAAACCCGCAAGCGATGCTGAGAGAATAGTTTATTCAAACCAGTCCTGCGTTGAGTAAATAATAATCGTTGCATTTGATACAGCGCCTCGTCACACCTTCGAGACGTCTCAAAGAGTTTCGCAGAATATACTGTAAAGCGGATCGACCGTATATAGTTTGTGGCCCAAATAGTTTCCGTCTGCAGGTAAACGAAGAGAGCATCTCCTCGGTGAGATAGAGGGGTTAAGTCTTGTCCTGGAGCTCGGCAAAGTGCTGAAACTTAAGCTTTACAGCTCGAGTCCCAAACCCCTGATTGTCCAGCACCCTGGGACGTCTTTCCGGCGTGAAGGGCGCTCGCGATACGAGTGTCGTTGGTTGCTGTGGCCCTCGGTGTGCGCGTTCAGACACAGCGAGTTGGCAGCCCCCGAACGAGACTAAAAGCATTGTACCGGAGCCTCACCGAAACCGCTCCCTCTCAGTAAGTACACGGCTTCATTTGGCGCTTGAGAAACGTGTTTGCTCCTTTTCGCAACCATTGCATTTCCCCCTCTTTACCCCCATTCCCCCCAATCCCTGGCCTAGCAAAGGTCAAGGTCACCCACACACTACGTCAACCAAAGCTGCTCTTGCCCCAACCTTGCCCTATTAACTTCACTTTTGAACCCCTTTGTCGCCCGTTCCTGTGTTGTCTCACTCGCCTCTCCCGTCTCTGACACCGACGGTTGTTGAGAACTACCTTTTGGGCCCAGGACACGATCCGGCCTCCAACCCGCCCCACCAACGGTTTATAACGAGAACTCTTTTCGTGCAAAAACTCCCTGACAGAATTCTGTGGGAGGAAGACGTTCCCTGAAATTCTACATTAACCAGCGCCACTTTGTGTGCGTGTGTACACACACACACACACATAGACGGTTATAAAATGTCCCCAAGGAGTCCGGCTAACAATTATCTGGAGTAAAGTCAGAACGGGAGGGCAGCTGATTCTATCTCCCAAGCGTATGGTGTGAAATGAACCAGAGCAGCTTGAAGCAGTGTCTGTAATAGGTGAGCGCAAGGTGCGTGTGTGTAGAACGGAATTGAATGAACGTGTTCTCCACGGGTTATGGAGGTCTTGGTACTTCCGTCTCCTCTTCCTCGTTGATGGGGGTCACGTCGCCCTCCCTCCCGCCTGCGGGATCTTATCTGACGCTCTGAGACATGTGCAAGGCGGTCAGCATCTCCTCGAAGATGGCTCCCTTCACGTTTGAGCCCCTCAAGTTGGCTTCCTGCAGGTCACAACCGGACAGGTCGCAGTTCTGGAAAAGGATGGGATAACATTACCAATCAAGAGTGGGTGGAATCAAATCACTGGAACTGCCTCAATCCCTCAGTCTTGCCGCTCCCCCATTTGCTCGTCTTCAAATCCCACCCGAAGACTTCCCTCTTCAACTGAGCCTTCGGTCATCTCCCCATCTCCCTCTCCAGCTCAGCATCAAACCACACCAACTTTCTACTTATAAAGGTTTTATAAAGGTTGACCCCCCACCACTCATCTAATAACAATGAGGAAGACTCTTTTCTCAAGACCCTCCTCTTCGACCGTGCCATTAGTCACCCTCCTACTCTGCCCTCCACCCCTCCTGATCCCAACCCCAACTTGGGTGCGGATCCCTGACTGTCCAGCATTTTGGGACGTCCTCCTGACGTGAAAGGCACTGTGTAAATGTAATGTGTTGTTCGCACCTCCAGGTCTGTGCCCGCCAGCGTTGCCCCTCGGAGATTGCAGTTTTTCAGCTTGGCGTTCTTTAATGTGGCCACACGCAGATTGATGCCAGTCATCTGACTGCCCTCCATGTCCACTCCTTTCAGATTGGCCCCTGAGACACAAGGTGCGGAGATCAATGGCAAGCCCCCAGAGCAGCTCGTGTCACTTAATCCCCATCAAGCGGATAGGCCAAGATCAGCCCCGCCTTTCATTTCAGTACAAAGTCCTCCAGTGGAGTCCTGTGGCTCAGTGGTGAGAGCACTCGCCTTGCAAGCGAGAGGACCTAGGTTTGATTCCCGGGCGGGACAGGGCAAAATCTCAGGCAAGTTTCCTTACCCCCCCTAGCAGTAAGCAGGAAACCGTCTGTTAAATTGATTGGTGGATCGCTTTTCTGGGGGTAATAATTCCTTCCCCCCAAGAAATTGGTCACTCAACCTACGACTGTTTGTGGGACGCTGCTGTGCGCAATTGGCTGCCGCGTTTCTCTCACAAAAATATACGGTCAATTTACTTTGCAGTGGATCCTGTGACGCGCCGTATCAAATGAAAGGATTATTATTATTATCATGAAGAATGTTAAGCGCTCCGGAACGCTACACCACATGAAGGATGCCATACAAAGGCAAGTGGTTGTTGTTGAACGTGATGATTCAGTGTACACTGGTTGAGCCAAGGATACACCTCACCTTCCAAGTTGGCCTTAAGGCCTGAAGGATCCTCGAAGTTGCAGCTGATCAGTGAAGCTCCCTCTGCATTGGAGCACAGCATTTTCACCCCTTGAAGGTTGGCGCCCTGTGAAAGCCACGCAAAGCAATCAGCAGCGAGCTCTACAGAGGGGAAGTCAGTGACTCTGCAAGTTACAGGCAACTGTGACCGTTGCCATTTAGCAGCGAAACGAGGAGGTAGTTTGTCACCCAAACGGTTAGTGGAAATCTGGAACTCTCTCCCCTAAAAGGCTGTGGATACTGGATCCATTCACCTTTTCAAGAGGGTGGTAGGTAGCTATTCGTTAGGTCAGGGTGTTAAAGGATATGGGGCAAAGGCGGGTAACTGATCAGCCATGGTCTTTTATAATGGCAGAATAGGCTCGAGAGGCTGAATAACCAGTCCTGTTTCTGTTTACTAAATCATGGGGTAAGTAATCCACTGATGGACCTATAGCTTGCGAGTTTTAAAGCACCGGAGCAGGACTTTTGAGCTCTCAGCCGAGGCTGACGTTCCAATGCAGTGCTGTCCTTTGGATGAGCCTGTGCCTGTTCAGGTGGAAGTTTAAGAGCCTGTGGCACTGTTGCAAAAGAGAACGGGAATCTGTCACGGTGTCTTTCCAACAATCCCCCAGCCTTCCTGGTAACCCGGTTGCTCTCTAAGTACAGATCTCTCTTGCGAGCGGACACAGGTTTGTACGTACGTCAAGGTTAGCTCCCGACAGGTCAGCTCGCTCCAGGTTTGCACAGCACAGGTTGGCGTGGCTGAGGTTGCAGTGGCTGAGGTTGGCCATCTTAAAGTTGATGTAGCGGAGATCGAGTCGGGATAAGTCGGTCCCGCTAAAATTGAGGCCCTGAGAAGTAAATACACAAAGAGTCGTCAACAACAACTGGCACAGCTCAGTGGTTAGAGCACTTGTCTCGCAAGAGAGGACCCTGGGTTCGATTCCCGGGCGGGCAGGGTGAAACGATGGGCAAGTTTCCTTACTTCACACGCCTCTGTTTACCCAGTAGTAAACAGGAACCCGGTTGTTAGTTGATTGGCAGATCGGGGCTAATAATTTCTTCCAAAAACACAATAATTTGGTCACTCAATCCACGGCTATTTGTGGAACGCTGTTGTGCGCAATTGGCTGCTGCATTTCACCCAAAAAGCAAGCAATCAATTTTACAGTCTGTGAGACGTCTCGAAGATGTGTTAAGGGGCTGTATTAAATGCAAAGATTATTAGGACGGCTGTTTTTAAGGGGCTGGGAACGGGGCCAATGGAAAAGGAGAGGTTGATGATATCTGCAAGTAGAAGGGCAGAGGCAGCCGAGTGAAACCCCTTGATTTTGGTCTTGAGGCTAGATGTTTTGATGTGATAAGCGTGGGGAGAGTGCAGTCACCTGGCACCGAAGCTCGGATTTGGTTGGCGTTGCTAAGAGAAACCGGACAAATTCCTTGCGAGAGATGGGAGTGTGGTCCTCAGCCGGCAACGAAATCTAGGGGACAAAATAAGAAGTGAATTGATTAGTGGCTTTTGGAACAATCAGACCATCGCGTAGCTCAGTGGTTAGAGCACGTGTCTCACAAGCGAGAGGACCTGGGTTCGATTCCCGCCTGGGCAGGGCGAAAGGTTGGGCAAGTTTCCTTACTCCACACACACAAGCACACACTTGTTTACCTAGCATTAAGTAGGAACCCGTTTGTTAGTCGATTGGCGGATCGTTTTCTGGGGTTAATAATCCTTTAAATTTTTTTCAAAAAATAATTTGTTCACTGAAGCTACGACTGTTTGTGGGACACTGCTGTGCGCAATCGGCTGCCGTGTTTTGCCCAGAAAATACGCAGGCACTGCACTTTACAGTATATTCCGTGAAGCGCTCTCGTCTCGAAGACGTGATAAGGTGCTATATCAAATATATCAAGGATTATTATTAATGTTATGTAGAATTACAGCATGAGGGGGGAGGGAAAAGATTCATTTTCTTTAAGTAATGCCAGGATGGATGTTGGTCTTCTTTCTAGCAAATTCTTGTTCTTATATCCTTACCTTGATGGCTAACTCCAGCTGTTCAATGAGAGATTCTATACCGAAGAACTTGGCCTCTTCGAGGACACCTACAACAACAACAACAATTTGCATTTACACAGCGCCCTTCACGCGGGGCAGCATCCTGGGGCGCTTCACAGTGCTGGAGTCTGACAACTAGTCGAGTGGGGGTTACCGTAACCACGAACAAAAAGGTAGGTCTTTAGGCGGGATTTGTTGGAATTCAATGAGACATACATTGAACCGGGGGAAGGTTACGGAGTCCTGCAGTTCAGTGGTTAGAGCACCCACCTCGCAAGCGAGAGGACCTGGGTTTGATTCCCGGGGGGGGTGCAGGGCGAAATGTTGGCCAAGAAAATAAATAAAAAATAATAATAATTTGGTCACTCCATCCACGACCGTTTGAGGGGCATTGCTGTGCGCAATTGGCTGCCGCGTTTCACCCACAAAACCGTCAATTCTCTTTACAGAACCGGCACATCTGTGAAGCATCTTGAAGACGTGATAAGGAGCTCTACCAAATGCAAGATTATCATTCTTGTTCTGTACGATTCTTTTACCGGTGAGAGGAAAAGAAGAAGGCGAGCAACGCACCCAGCAGATTGAGGCCGTCGTTGGTGATGAGCTGTCCATGACGCAGGTAGTTCAGGATGGGGGCAAAGTATTCAGGACTGCGATCAATTAGGAAACCTCCCCGCTGATCTTTCTTGTTTCCCCAAGCGTCTGTTACAAACAGAATTGGAACACTTTCAGAAACCGAGAGCGACGCCTGTGTTGAATAACATGGCCTCATCGCATCGTAAACTTCCTTCACGTCATTTGCGTGGAATGTACTAACCGCACGCTGGGTGGCTGAAGGCAGGGTCGAAGTGGAAGGAGTTTAGATGGGACATGAAAGAGGCAAGAGAGGGCGTGAGGCGGAGGGATTGCGGGATAGAGTTCCAGAGGGTGGGATAGAGTTCCAGAGGGTGGAGACAGAGATGCTGAATGCCCGACCGTCAATGGTGGGGTGGGAAGTGCAGGGGATGTGAAGGCCGGTGTCCGCTGAGTGGAGAGGTTGATATGGGGCTAGGAGGTCGGACAGGCAGGTGAGGGGGGAGTAAGGCAGTGGATGGCTTTGCAGTTGAGAACCAGGATTTTGAACTGTATTCTCTGAGTAAATGTAAGGATACGTTTAAACAAGTAAGGAGTGAAATACATGTAAACATCAGTAAAAGGCTTCCTGCCCCGCAAGCAGGTCGGTAAGTCTTGAAAGCTGCACTCGCGAGACTCACCTTTCTCTCGGAACATGTGAGCTAGCATACTCTCCGGTTCTTTGTTCACTAAAGTACTCCTGCGGGGGGACAAGAAACGGCCTCAACAACAACAGCAACAACAAATCCGCACTCGAACTGGGTGGTTGGGACCAGGAGGGGTGGAGGGTGGGTAGTTATTAATATTATTCAGTGGTTAGCCATCCACTGGTTTAAGCGGCCTCTGTGTTTCTCCGGATCAGCTGGATTACCCATCGGCCTGCTTCAGAGCATCCAACACAGAGCAAGTGTTCCTCATACTTAAATACACCTAAACACGGAGGGAGAGTTCCCTGGTCTGGAATGGAATGCGCGCTCTTTCCCTCCTGTAGCTCAGTGGTTAGAGCGCTCGCCTCGCAAAGCGAGAGGACCTGGGCTCGATTCCCGGGCGGGCAGGGCAAAGCGTTGGGCAAGTTTCTTTAAATTCCACGTGCTTACCGAGTCGTGGTAAAGTACGTTCCCCCGACATTTAGTGTTATCCAGTCGGTGCAGCCCCAGCATTTATCGTCAGCATCAGCGTCCTTCCCACCATCTGCCAGAGGATCTGTTAGAGGCCAAAGCACAGCGAGAAAGCTACCAACTGAGGCAGGCTGTCACTTTCAGCTAGCAGCTCGCACCTCATCTAAAAACAGAGCAACTGCACTCGACACCAACCCTCCACGAGGTGCATTAGGAAATCTAGACTTTATAGGCACTGTCTCAAACCCAAGGACTGTTACGTTTTTAGTGTGATGCCATAGCTTGCACCGTTGCAACCACTGTAAACTCTGTGAGTTTGCGCGCCTTCTCCCAACAGCCCCCCTTCACTCTGGTACTCTACCCCGCAATCCCTCTGCGTCACCCCGACTTTTCTCATTTAAGTCCCGTCTAAAGACCTTCATCTACGACCGTGCCTTTGGCCAGCCTCCCACCCTCCTGATCTCAACTCCCAGCTAGGGTTCAAAACTTGGGTTGTCCAGCGCTCTGGGACGTCTTTCCGACGTGAAGGGATGTGATAGAAGTATAATTTGTGGTCGTTGAAAACCATATCAAACATCTGACTTGGAAAGGTGCGCGCACACACGACACACAAAGAAACTTACAGCACAGACAGGTTCAGTCCATCGTGTCTGTGCTGGCTCTTTCAATCCTTTCAGTCCCATTCCCATGCCCTTACCCCTTATACCCATGTCGTTTACTCCTTTTTAAGACATACACACACTCACCTATAAAAGAATCCCCTTCAGACACATACAAAACGTCATCGTCTCTGATTAAAAGGAAAGAAACAAATAAACAATGGGCCAGCTATGTCCGCACAGCAAGCCACTGTACACAACTCACCCCCGCCATTCCCAACCCACGCATGTTAATGTGAACATTTTATAGTTGCTGTCGGGAGTGCTTTAAAGCAATGCCGTTTGCAGTTTTGAGGTCAGTGAATTCCTATCCTCCGTGTTGATTACAGCAGTCAGCTCAGAGGTAAAGAGATGACAGCATTAATTACCCTGCAGAGTGTCTGATATCGACTCGGTGCAGGTAATAACAGTGACCCTCTGGTTCCAGATGGTCAATCCCTGTTCGCCAGCTCACTTGACAGCAATTCCCTCTCTAGCTATCAGCCTGGTTCAGTTGGAAGAACTCTTGTTGCGGAGTCAGAAGGTTGGGAGTTCGAGCACCCGCGTCAGGATTTTGAGCTCAATCAAATCTGATGCTCCAATGCATGGCTGGGGTGGGGGTGGGGGTGTGGGGAAGTGCTGCGTCTCTTGTGAGACATTAAGCCAAGGTGCCATTTCTGTACGTTCGGGTGGATGTTAAAGAACCTGTGGCGCTATTCGAAAAGACAAGGGAATTTCCCCCGGTGTCCTGGTGCAAAACAAAATTGGTCATTCATTCGATGACCATTTGTGGGGACGTTGCTGTATGCAAATTGGCTGCTGCATTTACCCACACAATGCACAGCCATTACCTGTCACCCTAAATTGTAAAGTACAGCACTTTGAGACGTCCTCCTGGCGTGAAAGCAATGATATCACATGCCAGGATTATTATCAGTAAGTGCTTTCGGGTGTTTTATTTAATGCTATGGGCGGTGTGTCAAGTTATTACCGAGGAAATTGATAGCACAGAAGGAGGCCACACAGCCCATTTTGTCGGTGCTGGTTATTTTAAGAGCAATTCCTTCAGTCCCTTTTACATGCTCTTTCCCCCTCCGTACATCTACTGTAGTTCACATAACAAAAGGCTTACCTAATAAGTGCAATGTCATCGATGAGGCCACCCTTCCCATTGTACAGATGGGCGGCTTTTATACCCAGCTTATTGCTCGCCACCGACAGCAAATCTGACAGAGCTCCGTATACAGCCACGACCTGAGTGAATTGAAAGAATCGCAACCTTATACAACAGCAAGTTAGATTTACAAATATAAAAGAATCAGACAGAAATCCTATGTTTTCAAGTGTTTGACTGTATTACTTAATACAAGGTATCAACTCAGCATATGGAAGCTCCTACAGAGAATCATAGCATTATATAGCACAGAAGGAACCATTCGGTCCATCGTGTCCGCGCCGGCTCCTTGAAAGAGGTGTTCAAATCAATCCCACGCTCTCTCTCTCTCTCTCCTTAGCCTTGCAAATTTGTCCTCCCTAAATATCTATCTGCTTCTCTCTTCAAAGTTGTTATCGAATCAGCTTCCACCACCACCACCTTTTCAGCAAATGCATTTCAGAACCGAACATTCCAGAACGCTCCACAAAAAACAAAACGCTGAATTGCAAAAGTAATTCAACGCAAACCTCTTCAACCCAGATGTGATTTTCAAGCAAACGAGGCAACTGAGGTTTTCCGTTGCTTTCAATAAACAACTGAGGCGAACTAGATGGACCTTGGTCCCCTTTCGCCTAGCGAATGCTTATGTTCTTACGAGAAAATAATATACAGTATATGGTTTGCGACACGACATGTCAAGCGACCGCCAGGATGGTGAGCGGCGTTACATAAATGTAATTTGTTGTTATTATTCTGCAATTTTTTTTTAAATTGCCCTCTCTGGGGAGGCAGCCTTTTCCACACACACACACACACACTCCTTCCTCCTCGTTGCCAATGTCAAACGCCAGCATTATGTATGAGTGCATTAACATTACGTTCGCGAATGGAAGGCGACCAATCAATCCACGACTGTTTGGAGGACGCTGCTGTGCGCAATTGCCTCGCCGGCTGCATTTCGCCCACAAAACACAGTCACTGCCCTTGGACAGTCTACCCTGCAAAGTGCCTCGAGACGTGTCGAAGACGCGATGAGGCGCTGTACCAAAACGCAAGGATTAGTATTATCATCATCGCTGTTATTACAATTAAAATCTTTGGCAACGCTCGTGGCCTCTCACCTTCCCATTCCTGGCGCTGCCGTTCACAAATAACGTGACCCGCCTCATAGTCCTCCCTCCCTCTTGTCCTCACTCAGTCCTTCTTGACTTACTCCCCTCTCCCTCCTTCACTCTCTCCTCCTTCACTCACTCCCCCCTTCTTCCTTCACTCACTCCCTCCTTCCCTCTCTCCTTCTTCCTCCTCCACTCACTCACTCCCTCTTTCCCTCCTTCACTCACTCGCTCTCTCCTCCTCCTTCACTCACTCTCTCCCCCTTCCTCCTTCACTCACTCCCTCTCCCTCCTTCCCTCTCCTTCTTCCTCCTTCACTCCCTCACTCTCTCTCTTCCTCCTTCACTCCCTCTCTCCCTCTTCCTCCTTCACTCCCTCCCTCCCTCTTCCTCCTTCACTCCCTCCCCCTCTCCCTCCCTCCTTCATTCACTCCCTCTCTCCCTCCTTCCCCCTCTCCTTCCTCCTCCTTCACTCCCTCCCTCTCTCTCTTCCTCCTTCACTCCCTCTTCCTCCTTCACTCCCTCCCCCTCTCCCTCCTTCATTCACTCTCTCTCTCTCCCTCCTTCACTCCCCACCGCCCCTCGAGACCCGTTTAAACCGTTAATCGACACAGATTAACAAAGTGGCCGAGGGAGGGAGGGAGGGAGGGGAGTGGGTGTGGGGTGGGGGGAGTGAGAGGAAGGGCTTCGAAGGGCAAATTGAAAGGAGGAGAGGAAACGAAGCCCCTCGAGCGATGATACCGTCCCTTCCTCTCGACTCCACCCACCGCCGCCGCCGCGCCGCCTCCTTTATATATGCCTCGCGACCTAACCTGATCGTCGCCCGATTGACAGCGCCGCCCTCCAATCGGCGGCCGGCGCCCGGCGGGCCCGGCCAATCAGGCGAGCGGGGAGGCGGGGCGCGAACAGCCAGCGGGTTAGGTTGACCCCCCCCCCAGAAGGGGAGGCGGCGGTCGGTCCGTCTCTCAAAGAGGAACCGGATTCGGGAAACAAGAGGTTCGCAGGAAAGGGCCCATCCCTCAGTTTTAAAGATTTTACATTAAAAAATATATGGAGAGAGCCGACGACCGACCCTCTCTGTGTAGTAGTTTGATGTGTACGGTGTGTATGTACCTATGTGTATCAATAAAAATGACGGCTCACACAGCGCGACGGATTCCCCATCCACCGCTGTGGTCCGTCGCCCTCCAACCGCCGACCGCGCGCTGACGGCTCCCGGCGATTCAAACCTAGCCCCCCCCCTCCGCCACGTGACCCAGGCTCCAACCGCCGCCGGGGGGGGGGCGGGGCTGAGAAGAGAAAGCCACGCCCCCCCCCCACACACACTTCGCTCCACTCTCACTGGCCGATGGGGTGCACGTGGTGTCAGCGTCCGACGCCCGGATTGGCCCGTTTGAAACAAGACGGTTCCCGCCCCACTCACGCGCAGCGCAGCGCGAGCGAGTGAGTGAGCGAGTGAGAGAGAAGGAGGGAGGCGGCGCGAGACGGCGAGCGCGCGGCCTCTTGTTGGGCCGCCGCCGGCGTCAACAAGGTGAGGGGGTTGGGTTGGGGGGGAGTGTCATCGACGGTGTCTCCGCTCCCCATTGTGGACGTGAAGGGGTTACCGGGTGACATGGCGGTTGGCCTGATCTGTTTTCGCGAGGTGAGCGAGAGGAGAAGGACGGGGCGGAGGCGGCCGGTGGTGTCGTCTGTCGGGACGGGAGGGGGACACTCCATTCCGTGAGTGAGCAGTGAGAGGAGGAGAGTGTGAGGGAAGAAGAGAGGGAGGGGTGTGAGGGAAGAAGGGAGGGAGGGGTGTGAGGGAAGAAGGAGGGTAGTTAGGGAGGAAGGAGGGGAGTGAGGGAGGGGGGAGGGGGTGAGGGAGGTGGGGAACGGGGGAGTGAGTGGGGAGGAGGGGAGTGAGGGAGGTGGGGAACGGGGGAGTGAGTGGGGAGGAGGGGAGTGAGGGAGGTGGGGAACGGGGGAGTGAGTGGGGAGGAGGGGAGTGAGGGAGGTGGGGAAGGGGGGAGTGAGTGGGGAGGGGAGTGAGTGGGGAGGAGGGGAGTGAGTGGGGAGGAGGGGAGTGAGAGAGGAAGGTGGGGAGTGAGTGGGGAGGAGGGGAGTGAGAGAGTGAGGGGAGTGAGTGAGGAAGGAGGGGAGTGAGTGGGGAGGAGGGGAGTGATAGAGGAAGGAGGGGAGTGAGTGGGGAGGAGGGGAGTGAGAGAGTGAGGGGAGTGAGAGAGGAAGGAGGGGAGTGAGAGAGTGAGGGGAGTGAGTGAGGAAGGAGGGGAGTGAGTGGGAGCGATGGAGAGGGAGTGGGCAGGAATGGAGGAGTGAGTGAAGTGGGGGGAGGAGTGAGGGGGGGAATTAGTGAGCGAGTGAAGGAGGGAGACGGGATGTGAGGAAGGGGAGGGAGGGAGGGAGAGAGTGAGTGAAGAAAGGAGAGAGAGAGAGGACCTGAATGAATGAATGAATGAATGAAACGAGTTGGAAGAGGATGTGGTGCTGTTTACTCGGATCAATGTGGACAGTCACAAAATAATAATCCTCGCATTTGATACAGCGCTTTTCACGTCCGGAGGACGTCCCAAAGCGCTTCACAGAACACACTGTAAAGTGAATTGACTGTATATCTGTGGGCGAACGCGGCGGCCGATTGCGCGCAGCAATGTCCCCACAAACAGTCGTGGATTGAAAATGACCAATTTTTATTATTGTTTTTGGTTTCGGAGGGAATATTATTTGTTGTATAACCAATCCACTGTTCTCGCTTGTCTCTGCAGGAGCGTCTCCTGAATTCTCCCCAAAGCGGTGTTTGGCTGTAATTCCCCCCCACTAAATCCAGGTTAAGTGAGTTTTTTATTATTATTATTATTATTAATAGGCAGATTGTATTGCGCGGAGTCCTGTAGTTCAGCGGTCGGAGCGCTCGCGAGCGAGAGGTCCGAGTTCGATTCCCGGCAGGGCGAAACGTTGACCAAGTTTGCTTATTCCACGTGCCTCAGCTTACCTGGTAAGTAGGAACTGGTCATTAGTCGATTCTCAGATCACTTTTACGGTGGGTAATCCTTTTTATATAAAAAAAATAACGGTCACTCAATCCACGGCTGTTTGTGCGACACTGCTGTGCCCGCCTTGGTTTAGTTTCAAATGAGTGGCATTTAACACTTTCTGCTTGCTCTTTCGTACTAATAAAACACTGGGGCGCCAGTGCAAAGGAAGTTGTGCTTTGAAATTGTTTCTGACGATAAGCTATGTTGTAATTTGTACATTCTTTCCATCACAATTTTAAGGTTTTGTACACTACCAATTGATAAAAAAATGGATCGCTATGGGATGTTGATTCAACTTAAAGAGACCGATGAGGGCAAGTGTCAGTTTCCCTTGGAATCGAGATCCTTTTTATTTGGAAGGTACGGGAGTTTTAAACAAAGCTCTGTTTAATACATAAATGTAATGCATACCTAGGATTGATTTTGAAGCTGTGGTTAGATCTGTGGATTTTGATAATTCTCAAGACCCTCCTCCTCACGTGAAAGGCACTGTACAAATGTTATTTTGTTGTATTGTATTCACTTGTGAAACTGACTGTGGCATTTAGATATCAGCTCGAGTGAAGCTAGAGCAGTTTAGATCTATTTTCAGGTCTTTACTTAGATCTACTTTCAGTTCTATGATGTAGTTACAGCCAATCTTCTATATTTTTTCTATGTCTGTCGTTTGCTTGCACCACATAAACCTTGCCATAGTAACAATTACAGACGGTCCTCATAGCAATCCATGCTTGCTGTGAATTGAGTTGCTTTTCTTGTTTCCCCATTTCCTTTGCCTCAAATAGCTTCCCACTATTTGTGTGGTACTGATTAAGTTTCAGTGACGATGTGATTGTTGGGTTTAAACGTGTATTCACATTTCAAGTCTTGCTGGATTGTTTACATGAGGGAGATGTCACTTCTAATCTCAGGAAATGTTTGCTTTTTTCATTTAAGGAACCAAAAATGTGATCTAAACATTGTGGCCCCTAATGTGGCAGGAGAGCACTGCAAGCTGGAAGTAAATGAAAACAATGAAGTAAGTATTGCCGTAGTTACTTGTCAGTGATGAAGCTGTGCGTAGTTAGTGTATAATAGATTCGGAAACTTTGCCATTGATTGCTCCGATCAGCCTTTATGTAACCAATGGAGGCCAGGGGCCATTTGGGAAAACCAATGTCGACCCTTTTGCGCTGTTTGTCACTTCTACATAGAATCATGGAATACTACAGCGCAGAAGAAGGCCGATCTGCGCCATTGTGCCTGAGCCGGCTCTTTAGAAGAATTATCCAATCAGTGCCACTCCCCCACTCTTTCCGCATACCCTTGCAAATGTTTAATTTTCAAGTACCTATCCAATTCCCTTTCGAAACTTGTTAATGAATCTGGTTCCACCATCCTTTCAGGCAGTGTATTCCAGACAGTAACAAGCCTGTGAAAAAACATTCTGACCCATTGGCTAGTGGATACAGTTTTATATAGCATAATATAATAATAATGCTTGGCTTTGATACAGCGCTATGTGATGAGAAAAGAACCATTAGAATAAGAGGGTTAGCTTTAATGTTCAAGCAGACCTCTCATATTCGCAAGGCTTCCTTGTGAAGCTGCATTGCGTTCAATCACAAGGACTATGTAATATCAAGAATAGCTAAATAGTTTCAGATTAAAATGAACAATCTGTAGAAATTTAAAATGAGCAATATTTGAAACTTCATTTTCAGGTGATTTTAAGAAACTTAGCTTGTGCTGCCCCTGCGTTGCTGAACGGGAAGCCAGTATCTGATGCTGAACTTGTGGAAGCTGGTGATGTGATTACAATTTTTAACCATTCCTTCAGGTAATGACTTCATAGTAGAACTTTTAATACTCTTTTGTGTGCTAAGACTGGGTAGCCTGATGACGATGTAGAAATCTACAGCACAGTCACCTATTAGTCATACAAAGAAATACTTTATGGCACCTCTTCAAGACTGAGATCGATATAGCTATTTGTTAGGTCAGGGTATAAAGGGATATTGGGGTAAGGGCGGATAAATGAACTTGAGGTACAGATCAACCACGATCATATAGAATGGTGGAGCAGGCTTCAGGGGCCGAATGGCTTCCTCCTGCTTCAATTTAAATTTGCATCTTCCTTGCATCACTGGGTGAGCTCAGGTTATGTCAATTCGGGGGAAACCTTATGTGCTGCATTGTCCATTGTGATGATTTTTTAAAATCAGCCCCCACCTCAGTCAGTTAGTGATGCCTCTCTACTTGCATTATAAACAGTGGGCACATATGTCAAAGTGAAAGTCTGTTTTTCCCTTACATTTGGAGTTGTTTGTTGGCCAAATATGATTAAGTACTGCAAGTAAGTTAGGATATATATATTAGACTTCAGAGAACCCTAAGTGGGGTGTGTAATGTAGGAACTCTACCCTGCGAAGGGTGCTATATAAGTGCAAGTTGTTGTAGATGATCTGTCCACTCCACCTGTAGTTCGTGTATGGTAATGTCCACTTTGGGAGCTGGTGATTGTGATTTCATTGAGTGAAAGTATGCTGTTTACTTTTCGGATTAGTCCCAAATCTGTAGGTGCAGAATGAATTGATTTCCAGCACCTGTAGTATTTTGCCTTTTGCGAAAGAATCGAGATGTTTAAAAGGAAACCAAAACGATTACTTGAGAAGTGAAGGTTTCAAAAACTACGGAGAATAGGTAGTGTAAGCAGATAGATAGCAGAGCAGATTTGATGGGCTGACAAGTGTACATCAGCTGGTGAAATGAATCCCTGAGTTACTTTGCAGCCTTCATGGCTGTTCGTGTTGTTATGTACTTTCAGGGAAAGTGATCCTTTTTTTAATATGGGTTTATTCCGTAGGTTTGATTCTCGAGAATCTGCAAGTGTCATTGCAATGTCCGGCACAGAGGAAACCGCTCAGGTAATCACTTTTAAAAACATTTTTTTCGTGGGTTTAATTTTTTGAAGACTGGAAGAACATTCATTGCATAAAGATCTGCCAGAAAACCTTCCCTGAACTTTAAGCAGTGAATTTCTGAGTTTTGTGGATCAGGCAGTTATCAGATCTGGATTTAGTCTAATTAATATGCATTGGATTTGTTTTTGTTTGTGCTTGCGGTCACCTCCCCCTCCCACTCCCCTTAGCTCAGCGCTCCGTGATGCTACCCTGTGTGAAGGCCGTTATATAAACGCAAGTTTGTTTGCTATTTCAGGAGCGTTTTGTGTCAGAAGAACTCAAGTGGTCAAGGAAGGCAAGGAGGAATATAGCTGGTAAAGGAGTCTTATTCTTTTAAGGAAAAGCAGTCGCTAAATAACAGTAGTTCATGTAGTTCAACAGTAGATAAGTAACAGCAAGCAATAGTATTGAAATCTTTCCGTGTGATATAATAGGTAAAAGGAAGTCTCGAGTTTCTCCTTTATGTGAAATAACTCTGTCGTCCGTTGAAAACCTGGATCAGAAGGTTAAGCCCCAACCTCAGTTTTCTTCAAGTCAGCAGTTGCAAGACGATGGATTGTATGAAGTGCCCACGTTAGAAGGAAAGATGAATAAGCAGCTTGAGGATTTCGTGGAGTGTAGGTCCAGACTAGATGTCCATCAGGAAACATCTGATGAGATGTCCGAGAGTACAAGAGGGGACACCACAAGAGGAGCCTTGTTGGACCTGGAGTTCCAATCTAGAAAAGTAACTCAAGCAGATCCATTGCTACACAAATCTATTAGTCCAGAAAATAAAGGTAATCAGTTTTGTACTTTCTAACACTTAACACAAATTTGCATGTATTCTCAACAATTTAAAAAAAAAGTAAAACTCTGTTGTAAGACAAGGGCTTTAAGGTGGAACGGTTTCAACTCTTCATTCTTTCACCCAACTCCAGCGCAGGGTACAACCTGCCAGCTCGAGTCCAAAGCCCTGACCGTCCAGCGCCTTGGGACATCTTCCCGACGTAAATGTAATTTGTATTGTATTTGGTTATTATTTCCTAAAGAGCCAAGATGTTGAGTGATTACTATTGGCTTTTTCTGCATGCCACAGAGGGAGGTGTGATAATAAACCATTTATTATTAGAACTGAATTGATGCTGAGCCTCTTCAACCTATGTCACAATGCAGACCAGTGTTAACACTGCCCCTTTTTTTCCACAGATATACCAGTGCGTGGAGCCTGTGGTGATGGCAACGACCAGAGTTTCCTAATGTTAACTGATTGCAGCGTGACTCCTTGCAAGCCCTTTTCTAACAATGTTCGCGGAAGTGAAGGCCAAGAGCTTTTTGTAAAAAAGGACAAGGAAGAATTCAGCGGGCCTGCAAACCAATTGCAAGTCCCAGCAGAAATGTCAAACCCCAAACCAGGAGGTAATTAAGACACAAGGTCTATTATAACTGTGGTTTAAAGAAAAGTAAACCAATGATGCCCTGATTTCCCATTGAATGGATTGCATATTTGATGACCGTTTTCTTTCATAAGCCAGGACAGGGCATCTAGATGGGAAAGGGAGCTTTGAAGCCCAAGAATAGATCACCTTTACATTCAGTTACCTGTAATAATTTGCAAACAGACATTTGAAAAAAAAATTAAGTTGGGAGGAAGAAAGAAGTAATAATAATCCTTGCATTAGATTTAGCTCCTGATCACGTCTTCGAGACCTCTCAAAGTGCTTCACAGAACATATTGTAAAATGGATTGACTGTATATTTTGCGGTTGAAACTAAAGGTAACTGTATTGCATGTGTTAAAAGGTATTTGTAAACTTTGTTCCAGGAAAACAGAAAACGAGGTTCTCGCGCCGAGCATCTTCCGTTGGAGCCCGAGGGTCTCCAGAAACCAATAGCCTTATCTGCCACATTGCCAGGCAAAGGATGCAAGCTCAGGTATAATAATAATGCTTGCATTTGATATAGCGCCTTATCATGTCTTCAAGACATCTCTAAGCTCTGCGCAGAATATACTGTAAAGTGAATTAACTGTATTTTGTGGGCGAAACGCGGCAGCCAATTGCGCACGGCAAAACAGTTGTAGATTGGATTGACCAATTTATCATCATTATAATTACTGCTGTGGTTGTGCTCCTGACGTGTAGATTGATGGTTTTGCAGTTCCTAAGAATTGTTTCATTGACCAGAGTGGTGCAACTTTTCTTTTTTTTAAAAAAAATTAATTAGGAATCAAAGAGGATTTTGCTGCTTAAGAGCATGATGGAGGAGGCCTATAAGGGGTCACTTCAAGCTGAAGAGGAAGAGAAAACGCCAGCTCCAGATGTCTCTGTTGGAGATTCGAAAGAAACTGGTAAGGAAAAGAGAATCCTGGATACTTACGTCAGAGAAGAAGGTCCTTTGGCCCATTGTTTCTCTGCCAATGTTTAGCTCCAGTACAGTTTATCCTTGGATGACTGCAGACAGCGATAGGGACTTGAACGTGTTTGATTCATGTTCAAATACCGTACATTCAGTTCTAGCGAGGTTTCATTGGCTCCCCGTCACTGAGCAGATTTCAAGATCTTCCCACTCGTCTTCAAAACCTTTCATGGCCTGGCACCTCCCTACCTTTCTGACCTGTTTACTCCCCAATCCGCCGCCTCCGCTTGACTGGCTCCAGCCTCCTGCACGTCTCGTGCCCGCTGTCAAGTTCTCTGAGGGGTGCTGTGTAAAGTACAAGTTGTTGTTGGTCAATTGGAATGAGTAGGATTATTGATTTGGCTTATTTTGACTTGTTCCTTATTCCTATCCTATTTTTCATCAATCAGTGTAGAAAACAGAAAAACATTTACTTAATTTTTTAGGCACGCCTCCTATCACTCCGTGTGCCAGTGACCCACCTCCAAAGAAAAAGGTGACCTTTGGAGACGAACTGACTCCTGAATTGTTTGATAAGAGGTTGCCGTCGAACACGCCTTTACGCAAAGGAGGGACCCCAGTTCAGAGGAAGACTGTCTTCAGTGACAGTCCTCGTTCTGTTTTGAAGCGGGGGTCGAAGATGGGACCCATCACGGAATATAGAACGGTAAATATTCCGGAGTTGACAAATTTAACTGAAATTGGATTAAGATTAAGATCGGGTGTTTCACCCACAGAATACACAGTCAATTCACTTTACAGTACATCTGAAGCGCTTTGAGGCGTCTCAACAACATGATAAGGCGCTATATCAAATTATCAAATTATAATTATTGCTTCTGTCGGTAATGCGTTGAAATATTATAAGTTTGCAAACTGTTGTTTGGTATTATTAGTGGAAAGTTTGACGAAGTTTGTTATGTTTCATTTTAACTTCGTAGTGGTGATCTTACAATGTGGATGTTTTGACGATCAGAATTGCTCAATTTATAAGTTTGACAGATTTCTGGTTCAGGTGACGAACCACTGTTGGTACTGTTCACTTTTTGTGGAGTTTAGCAATAGAGTCTTTTGAAAATAAACTACTTTTTTTTGTTTTTTTGTTCAGTCTGATTTTTTTTCTTCCTTTTGATATTTTCTGAACAGAACAGCTGCAAAGTTATACACAGCGGCTATGAGCCTCCTTTCAGTCCTGAGATCAATTGTGGAAGTGCTGAATCCCTTGAACAACTGGCAAAGATGGCAGGTAAGTGTGTTCAATTTCACCCTTTGTGAAAGGCCCTAAATGAGGCAGCGTTTGACTCAAGCAAAATAAGAGTGAACATAGGTATTGGGAACACAGGAGTGAAGGACAACATAGAAAGTAAATTGCAACTAAACTTTGACAAGACGGAAGCCATACTCCTTGGCTCCCGTCAACGTCTTCTGTCCTGAGTCTCTTGACTTCCTCAACCTCCCGGCCTATCCTCAGACTCAGCCTAACAGTGTGCGATCTAGGCATCAGGTTCGATGCAGAGCTGTCCATCTTTCTCCCACATCCAGTCCCTGACCGCAACCACCTTTCTCTCCAGCTCCGCCACATTGCCCGCTCCGACTGCACCTTACCCTGATTGCAACCGAAACGCTCGCCAGTTTGCCAATTACAAATTCGAAAAAAGATTTTCATTATTTGCTGTTTAATTTCAGTTGTGCGCAGCAATTCACATTTTTGCCGCTTGTTAAATGAAAGCTTTTAGGTTCGGTAACATTCTGGGAATTAACCCAAATTTTTCATTCTTGATGATAGATAACCTGGATAATGATGTTAAAAGACCTGTCGATGAAGGAGAAGGCTGTCAACTACGCCTCAATTTTAATTGCTTATCTCCACTGGAACACAGCTTAGGATCAGAGGAGCTACAGGATTGTCTTAAAAACCACGCATATCAAGAGCAACTGGGGGACACTGCTGAAATGTGTGAAGCCCTAAAACAGAACCAAGGGCCAATGGAAGCTGATAGTATATCTGGGTTCACAAAGCTACCTGAACCTTTGATAGACATTGATGCTATTTATACCAACAAGATGATCTCTGAGGTAGTTGACCAAGTTGCAAATTTCTATAAGGTTCGTAAACCGCGGAAAAGGAGAACAATGCAAGGCAACTGTAAAGCTCGGAATCTTTCTGCAAAGATTTCCCAAAGGAAGGGGAATTGCAAAGAGAGAGCTGGCAGGCAGGCCTCAAATAAAAAGTCTAAGCCTGGTGGGGAATCCATTACTGGAGAGAAGTCTTTGATTCCCATACTGTCTGTCGGTGACCAGCAGAGAGCCAGTAGGTTTGCTATACACCCTAGTCTTCAGGATGTGCTGGAGGAAACTGAAAGAAATGAAGACAAAATAATCCTCTTCGAACAAGTGGATACGACAGTGAAACTGAGCCCTGTTTCAGAGTTTACAGCAGAGAAAATCCCAGGTCGGGAACGTAAACGATCTGAGACCGCAGAGCTACCTCGCAGGTCTTCTCGAGTCCGAAACAATGCCAAGAAAGATGGTGATCCATCTCAAACCCCAGCCAAGGTAAAGGACGTTTGTGATGTTTGAGCCTGTACTTTAAAATCCGAAAATGTTTACAAGGCAGGAAATTATGTGGCTCATCCCGGCTCCATGTGTTTGCTCCCGCACTAGTTTAGGGCTGTTGTGAAACTGAAGAGAAGGTGGGGGGCACACCGGGTTGCTCTTATCCTGGGCTGGCTTCCGATTTATAGTCTAGCAAGCATGGATAAAAACGATAATTATATGTTAATGGTAAATGAGGAATGTGAAGTGCAATCTGGTTTATTAGTAATAAAGTGTTAAATCTTTTTTTTGAACGCAGGGCAAACGTGGAAGAAAAGTCAAAGTGTCACTTTATGGAAGACGTGAATATGCGTCAAAGAAACCGCTGTTGAGTCCGATCGCAGAGGTTTTCGATGAATTGCCGGAGTTGGGTGATTTAACGGCTTCTGTTTCACCCACAGAGAACGCCCTTAACTGGAGTACCAGTGCACCTAATATTACAGGCAAGAAGCTAGCCATTCACATTTACAATTAAACTTGTTGATTTAAGTTCTCAAAGTTATAGACAATTCCCCTCATCAAATAATAATAATAATAATCCTTGCATTTGATATAGCACCTTATCGCGGCTTTGAGACATTGAACTGCAATAGTTTCTCTTTGCCAGGAGGAGAAAAGGAGCCATCTTAAGTATAGGTAGCTAGTTATTTGAAATTCAACTGGTACAAAACCGGTAACTGTCTGCTCTTTTATTGACAAACAGATGATATCCCAGAGGAAAGTGAACAAGACCTCTCTGCAACAGGCTTGCCAGCTAACGGTTGTGCTGTTCAACATAACGTTACTGAGCGTTTTGGAAAGAAGGGCCAAATTAGAAGGACTATTATATTCTGCAGTGAGGAGCAACAGGTTGATCTGCCACCTCTGAAATCTGAAACTCTGGAGGAAGTTGTTAATATTGTTAAGTCACCTTTATCTGAAGATTCGGAAAATACCACAGCTCCGATGCATGATACAGAACCACATCAGAGTTCGGCCATTGGGGAAATTGTTGACGATGAGCAAAAGGTAACCGTGAGTTATGTCACGAGGAAAAGAGGCCAAAGGGGGAATCTCGTTGTGGTAAACTGTGGCTCAGAAGAGACTGCTGACGAAGGACAAGTGATGTCTGCAGGAGTAATGGGACTGGTGGAAATTGTTACTGACTCAACAAATCAAACTGCTGCTCCCAGCCCGACCTGTCCTCTCCTTCTCCCTGAGTCGAATGTGCTTGAAGATCTGAACAAGCAAGTCCAAGATGTAGCAGGTGAAACGCAACAACCAGCTCTTGTCCTGCCAGCTGAGGCGCTGATAGTTGTCGTTTCACCAGCAGCAGCAATGAAGGAAGAAATTAGTTTGTCACCTCCGAAGGCTCGAAAGGTCCTTCAAACCAGAAAGGGTCGTCGAAGGAGAAAATTATTTGCCCTAACGGAAATCGCTTGTGAAGAACAGCCAGATGAGACAGCTGAAAGGTACCTGACTGAAGCGAACGGCAATAATAAGGTGGAGAAGAGGAGAACTAAGGGGAGATTATCAGCATGCAGAGTGATCGACGAACACGATGTGGCTGACATTGACAGAGCTCGAGGTATAACTAGCTTCAGAATCCCATTTAATGCCGCCGAACAAGACTATTCTGTAGAAAGAGTTGATACCGATATATTTGTGGCTGCTGGCCAGCTTACAACTGAAGATTTTGACAGTGGTTCACGCGAGGCGTCAAGGCTTAGGAACAGGAAAAAAGTCAGGCGTAGCGGCAGGCTAAGTATGTCCTTAAACACGGAGGGATTAACCTGGATAGAATCCTCCATCCCTGAACAGGCGGAAAAATACACAAGTCCGAGGTCAAAAGCAACGCTTAGAAAGTTACAACAAAAGTCATTGTCACATGCAAACGATGGTGAAGTGCGGTCTGGAGGTTTGACACTCGGCGGAGGGTATCTGCCGTGCAATGGAAGTGGGTTTGAGGTGGCATTCGATGGGGCTGAGGAACCTCCTCTGAAAAGCATTTTATTGGATTAAAGTTTCACAATAACTCATAATAGGTACGTGGATTAATTTGATTAAAAACGTGTGGTAGTGTGTGACCAGCTGTTTCTATGTGCCCAAAGTAATGTTAACCCTATTCAGTTCTTCTCCCTACCTCTCCAACCTGCTTACCCTCAACCCCCCCCCACACCAACCCGCTACCTCCGCTTGACTGACTCCGTCCTTCTGCATATCCCTCATCCCTCATGCCCTCCGTTCGACCATCGGTGGCCACTCTTTCAGCCGCTGAGCTGCAAAGCTCTGGAACACTCTTCCTCCAACCCTCCACCTTGCCACTTCCTTCCCCGTCTTCAGGTCACATCTGAAGGCCTTCCCATTCAATGGTGTCCCCGGTCACCTCCCCCTCCCCCGCCGCAGCTCGGGGTGGTGCTCCGCCACTGTCGGAGCGCTCCGGGATGCTTCCCAAGTGAGGGGCGCTGTGCAAATGCAAGTTGTTGTTTGTTGGACTGATTTGAGAATTCTGCAATTTGTCGATTGTTTAGCATAAAGGTTCGAGGGCCTGAAATCTCTTTGAGGAGTTTTTGTACATATTTGTGATAAAGATCTAATATTCGCCCCCTTTGGAAATAAAATTGCCTACATAAAAAATCTCAATGTTTACATTTGTATCAACTCAACTTCCTTTTTTTTTCTTGAAGGGGCTGAAGTGACAAGCGCAGGAATTTTGAATAAATAAATACTTCGCAGAGGCATTGATTAGAAACGTGACAACTTCTGGAAGATGGTACAGAGCCTGGGCGCTTTCCAGCTGTTCACATTGACCTGCCGCCGTGGTCTTGTCAAGGTATAAAGCGTCCTGCAAACCTCTTAGGATCTGTCGGCAAAACAAAAGTAGTTTGAATTGAATTTGTTACTTCATCCTTTGTATATTATCTTTAGAGGAGTATTTTCACTGCACAACTTCATACCACTTGTCTGTTTAGAGTTACCAACTTTTATCCCCCTACTTTCATCATTTGAGAAGAAAAGAAAACAACTGTGACTGAGTTGATATAAAATAAAATGTGCATTAAATTAAACTGCTCTGGTCAGTGTTTACATGGTAATATTGATTGGTCGCTGGTGCAGACATCCTGACTATTCCAGGGTTGGGTGAGGATGCATGGCATGGAAAGGGCATGGAATCCAACAGAAATCATCGGTGTTGGAAGAGAACAAAGCTAAAACGTCCTAAGCCACCTCCAAGGTAAGAATTTATTTACTTTAATGATCTTTTATCTAATCTTGCCCCACCATTGGCTGGTGGGCCTTAGAACTCTCTGCCCGCACTCTCTGGAACTCTATTCCACCTCGCTCCCCTCGCCTCCTTCAAGACCCATCTCAAGACCCTCCTCCAACCTTCGGTCACCTTCCTAACCCTACCCTCCCGGCCCTCCACCCCTCCTGATCCCAACCCCCAGCTCAGGTGAGGATCCCTGACTGTCTAGCACCTTGGGGCGTCCTGACGTGAAAGGCGCGATGCAAATGTAATTTGTTGTTGTTGCAATAGTGTGTGTGTGTGTATCTCTCTCCCTGACCATTTATACATGCAGTCAGTGGCGGTGTGTTAGATGCTGCTGTAATGAAGGAAGCATTAAAACAATACAATTGGTACAAAGAAAATAATGGACCATTTTTACGAGCTTGTGCTTCTTTAATAAAATAATTCTACCACATGGTGGCGACCTCTTGCCATGGCAAAGCCCAGGTTTGTCCCACTGAATGGTCTGATGTAATGGAATATTGTCATTATTAAAGCGGAGCTTCTCTGTGTAGGAGCTAATTGTTGTTGCTTCAAGATGCAGATTCAATAATAATGTATTAGCATTAAAAAGCTTACCCCTGTGATGATCGTGTTCCAAGTGAGGATTGTAGGAAGATTGCAGCTTAATATTAATAATATTTGATATCACTTATTATCACTCAACCTACGACTGTTTGTGGGTCACTGCTGCGCACAATTGGCTGCTGCGTTTCACCCACAAAATATACACTCAATTTACTTTACAGTATATTCTCTGAAGCATCTCAGAGATGTGGTAATGGGCTATTATCAAATGCAAGGATTATTATTACTCAGGCACCACTCTTTACAGAGTGCTTTGAGAAGTTTTGATGTGTTGAGGATTACAAATATGTTTTTGAAGTATATATTTAGTCTTGCGCAGCAACTGTGTAAGAATGCACCGTTTCTGAACTGATAAATGCCTCAGTGTGCTATAAATGCGCATCAGCTGTGGAGGAGGATTGTTAATGGGAGTTACACTTGTATGAGCCTGCTAGTAGGCAAGAAAGTGCCTCAAATCCTCTTATTAGCTTCCTAGTTTGAGGCAGCATTGTTTTCCAATAGATACTGGAGTTTACTGCTCCTTTGGGGGAACTGGAATTTGTGCTGTACATGTTTTGCCTGAGCTTGGGAACTCCATTGCTACAAACTGTAGTCATTCTCAAACTGGCCATTTTCTCTCGTTCCCAAGCACCATCTGAATTAAACGCACCAATTGCCGCTTATTAATTCATTACTGTTTACGGAAGCCGTTTAAAATGCAGGGAAAGATTCCCAAAGACTAGCCTGGCCATCAATCCAAAAGCCTCCTTATTACCTCGAGAATGGAAATTAGTCGAAATGAATCCTACCCTCCTCCTTTTCCCCTTCCTTCCTCACCTCCCCACCCCTGCCCCCGCCCCCAAAGACCACACAACATTACAAGCAAATCTGTAAAAATTGCTGAAATTAGTCAGATCGGCCAGATGCTGTATTAGAGGGATTTTCAGTTTAACCTAGTTTACAGTCCCAGTAGTCTGTCTTCATTACTGGCATTTAAAGAAAACATGCTAACTCTGCTGACTACTTCAGATTTGGCTCGCTTGGGACACTTGTTTAGCAATAAGGATCCAGAATCCTGTCTCATTCTCTTCCTCTCTCTCCCCACCCCCCCCCTCCCAGTTTGACTGCCAAATGTAGCGTGGAAGAGCCAGCAAACGAAAGCATGCAGTCACCACGCTAACTCCCACCTCTTTTGCTTCTGCAATCACAATTACACCCTTACTCGGAGATGTACACCCTTGGCCGGGAGCTTGCAGAAAACGCAGCCAAAGTATTGCCTTAACAATGGGGTGCCACTGCTCCTTTTGTGATAATAATAAATAAAGTAATAATCCTTGTATTCGATTCAGCTCTTTATCGTTGTTGAGACGTCTGAAAGCACTTCACGGAATGTGCTGTGAAGTGTAGTTGTGTGGGTGAAAAGCGGCAGTCAATGTGCACAGCAGATCCCTTTCAAGAATTCCCGAAAATTAACGTTGAAAATGCAAACTTGTGGGTCTGAAACTCCTCTCTGGCTTCCCGGCTTCTTAAATGATGTTCGAATTGTGTGGATAAGGACAAAAGGTTTGAAACACCGAAAGTCTGAATACAGATCATCATCAAAAACTGCAAGGTTTTTATAATAGTGCCCGGGAAAATAGTGGTGCCACGCAGTTGCTGAAGTCCTCCCTCCGTTACGCCATCGGTGGCCGTGCCTTCAGTCACTACGCCCGCCCCCCCCGAAACTCTGCAACTCTCTCCCCCAATCCCACCGCCTCTCCCCCTCCCTCCCCATCTTCAAATCTCACCTCATGATCTCCCCGTTCGGTCTTCCGTGCTTGCGGTCACCTCCCTCTCCCCTTGGCTCATTGTCAGACTCCGCCACTGCGAAGCGCTCCGGTACTCTATCCTGGAGTGAGGGGCAAGTTGTTGTTGTATTCGGTTCGGTCTACACTGAGCTCATTGCAATGTGTAAATATCTTATATACTTCTGGTGTTGCACATCTCATTGGCAAAGGGAGATAGTCTGCACACTTCAGGAGGAGATGGTGGAATCTGGTTGAAGTAGTTACAGAGGTTTGTACCTCTGCCAATGGACCTTTCCAGGACTTTCAATAGACTATATACCAATTACCCAGTTAGTATCGAATCTGGTCTTTATTATCCTCCAATTGTAACGGTGTCTGGTTGGTCACTTCAATCCGTGACTGTTTGTGGGACACCACTGTGCGCAGTGGGCAGAAGCGTTTCACCCACAAAATATACAGTCCATTTGCTTTACAATATATTCTGTGAAGTGCTTTGAGGTGTCTCGCAGACATAAGGCGCTGTATAGAATTAATATTAGCATACAGCAATCTTCCAGGACAACCTTTCCAAGCAGACGCTGGATTATCGTATTGAATTCTAAGAATTTCTGTCGAACCATGCCACATTTTCTCGATCCCCAAGATATTCACAGTGGCGAGAGGTTTAATTAACCTTATTGCTCCTTCACTTGCCCGGAAGGGATTGGTTTTAGTTCCACTGACTGACTGGAGACCTCGCATTTCATCCAAGTGGACTGGTTTGGCTCATCTGAAAACAAGAAATTCTGGCAGCAACCAAGGACTGGAGCTGACTGGAAAGAAGTCCAACCTGCCCAAGGATTGATCTTTGCCTCGCTAACTTCTTGTGTGGTTTGAGTGAGAGATTCGCAAGTGGAAAAGATTGCAGGATCTGTGTGTTATTCTTGAATCGCGTTGTCGAGAGGCCTGGGGTAGTGATAATCTGTGACTTGCTGACGTTTCGCCCACAAAGTATACCGTCAATTCACTTTCCAGTATATTCTGTGAAGCGCTTTGAGACGTCTCGAAGAAATAAGGCGCTAGATCAAATGCAAGGATTATTGTTGTTGTTTCCTTATTTCTGTATTAGGAATTTATTGGTGTTAAGAGTGGTTGTTGGTGTTTCTGTTTGGACTGCAACAATCTTTAATGCTTTGTTCGGCAACAGCTGTCAAAAAACATGAACTGAGGACGTATTGCAATTTTTCTTGTTACGCCCAAGTTTTATTTTAAACTTGCTTTGATAGAACACCAAACTGTCACCAGGAGTGCGGACTACTTCAGAGTTTTGTGGATAGGTATTCATTCATGTAGGATAACACCAAAGTTATCTTACTGCCATAGAAAACGTCAGTGGAGTTGTCCTAAAGTCACCAACGCGTTCCTGAACCTATGCCCCAACGGTGCATGAAAACATTTGTTCCAGTTTGACTTCACTAGTCTGTTTAAACGTCTGTATTTCTGCTTTCTTGATTTGCTTGGCACTAAGTCAACAAAAAATAACTTGCATTTATATAGCCCACTTCACTCAGGGTAGCGTCCTGGAGCGCTTGACAGACGGAGTCTGACCCCGAGTCGGAAAGGGATGGGAGCCAGAGGGAAAGGGAGGGGATAAAATCTATCTTTATCTCACTGTACCATTAATTGTTATATTCTTTGAGTGAGCTTTCCTTCTTCCGCTCCTCATCATTTCCTCATCAGACTGCAAATGTTTGAGTTCCTCCATCCTTTCTTCAGTTCATCCCTCCTTACACTCGGGAATGGTCTCGTTGCTCCTTTCTGTACTTTTTCCAACGCAAGTTTATCCTTTTGTGCTGTGGTGACCAAACCTGAACACAGCAATCCAAGTGTGGTCTGACTGGTGCATTACAAAGCCTTAGCATAATGTCTGCAAGATTGTGTATTCACTGTTCTGGCTGTCTGTCCCAGCGCTCTGCTGGCTTTTTAAATTGCTTCACCATATTGTCTGGACATTGAAAGTGATGTCTACTGTTACTCCCAGGCCCTTTCAAGTCTTCCTGTGGTACTGCAATTCTATTCATTGTATGCTTACGTCTCACATTTTTCTACCTATATGTAATGCTCAAGTGTTAGATTTCACTTGCCATGTGTCTGCCAAAAAATCTAAATCTTTTGCTACATCCTCTGTCTCCAACGCTCTGCTCTCCCTTTTCAGTTGCGGTGTCCGCAAATAAAACCGGCTTGCGTATCCAAGTTTAATAATTTTTGTTTCAGAAACCCGAAGAGTCCTCAGCAATGCTTCTTGTGGGACTCCACTGAACGCTTTCCTCCTTTTCTCCACGGCCCACTACACCACTCACAAGTACTCCTGTTTCCTGTATATAGATTTTTTTTATAAAAAAAATCACTTTCTTATCCACGCCTACTTCTGCCTTTTCCTTCT